CAGACAGCCATTTCCTACACAAATCTTTCCATTTCTCTAGATGTTCCAACACCTTCTCCTAAAGCGGTTCATTTTTCAGTCAACATTTTGTAGGCACCAATTTCGCATACAAATCCGGTCATACCCATGATGCAATTCAGAACAAGGGAGAAGGCATGCTCCTAACTGTCACTTATCTTTTGCCTCCTGGTGGTGAAAACAAAAACAAAACCCTACTTTTATGACATTTGAGAATGGAAAGGGAAGCCTGTCAACATGAGACACATAAAGCGTGACTGCTCAAAGGGCTGCAGTCTCTAACCTTCTTACCACCAGCCAGCATTGATAAGAAGTCAGACAAAATAGGCTGAGAAATGCCCAAATGCCCTCCTACTACCTGTTATGCCTAGCACAGTGACTACCGAAGTAATTTCCAACGCTTGTGACAACTCCAATTCAGGGCCTTCAAATCATCTGAGAACCTAGGATAAAGAAAACAGTTACCGAAGGTGATTTTCAGGGCTCTATAATCCCAACATAAACTTCTAAAAGAAAACGTCACAGGACCTTTTTTTATTTCTTTAAAATGAATCGATTTTCACCTTCACTGCCATACCTGGACCCGCAATGGGTTCTAATTATCTATACAAAGAGAGAACATTTGAAGCCTCCTGGGGTCTCCTTAAATCCCATCGAGTCTAGAAAGTTATTATGAGCAAAGGTAGACAATTTGCATTGGTCTTTGCTTGGGAAAGAAGTGCAGCCTTTCTGATTATGCTCAAGCAGCCACAAACAAGCAGATCAGTTTTACACAAACGATCATGCTTCTTACAAGCTAGCTACATGTGGCATTTACCTACAGCATCCTTTTGAAACATCCCTGTGGAAGATGAAACATTCACCTGAGCAATCTTAGTTTTCATACCTTTTCAAAGGAGGAGCTTTGAGTGAGCAGTCAGATCATCCTCAGTTTCAATCCCTTAAAAACATTTCCCTGATCTTAGTTCTTTTGCAATTTTATCTCCTGTACTGCTGTTCCTAGAGATGTAGATATGAACTGTGATATTTTGAGGATAGTCAAGAAACAACGACTGAGTTATCTTTTACTACACATTTTTGACAGGACCAAAAAATCTAAACCAGCGGTTCTCATCTTATGTGTCATGACCCCTTTGGGATTGAACAACCCTTTCACAGGGGTGGCCTAAGACCATAGTAAAATACATATTTCTGATAGTCTTAGGAACCCAGACAGCACTCCTCTATCCATCTCCAGGCGGGTCCTCCCATGTGCAGATACGCCCACATATGAGTACCTGGCATGAAGACAGTTACCCATGCTACACCATGCTTCAAGATAAAATTTCGTTTATTTGTAATTAGAAATAAACATTTCACAATATATTTTGTGATTAATCAAGTGCTTTAATTATTTTTAATTTGTAACAAATACATCCTTCATATCAGATATTTACATTATGATTCATAACAGTAGCAAAAGTACAGTTATGAAGTAGCAACGAAAATTCATGGTTGGAGGTCATCACAACATGAGGAACTATATTAAAGGAACTGCATTAATGGGCTTTGGGTCTCCACTCCACACTCCCCCCATCATTCACTATGGTAAGATTTTTTGTTCTGATGATGCCTTACACCTGATCCCTTCGA